AAAAAGAAAAGGTACTGGCAGTCATTTCATTTAAACAAGGTGCTCTTCATTACCAAGAGTTTGTTTCCTTCCCTTATCAATGCATGTCTTAGTAAAGGATATAAAAAGTGTTACTCCATTTGAAGTTTCTCAGACCAAAGTGGTTTGTTCTTTTTGATTAAGAGAGGCACTGTTAAAGGAAAGGCTTCTTGTATATTTACCATGCTACTGAAAACAAGCTAATGTTCTATGAAGCCTGTGCCAGAATATATAAGGTGATTTTAAATTTGAAAAATACGTGGTAGGGATAAACAGTACAGACATGAATAATATGGGTTGAAGAAGAAGAAAAGATATAGTTACATTTTATGCCTATTATACCTGTTCCTGTTTATAGCTGTGTATGTGAAGGTGTTTTAGTTGAACATTTTAGTAATTCTTATTCTTGAGGGAGTCAAAGGTATGTAGGGAATAAAGTAGTGTTTGGATAGTCCAGACCACTAAGAACATATAATTGCAAGCCTAAGGTAGTCCAGGAAACTGTACACTTGTATTTCTTAACTATAGTCTTGTTAAAAAGCAGAATCATGTGTGATCCTGATTTCCACAAAATATATTTAGGTGTTGGAAACTATTACGAGCCTCTTACACTGTCTGTTTCATTTATTTTCCACGTACGCCTACTTTCAGAAAAATAGTTGGTTATCTGGAGGAACAAATAAACCCTTTTATCTTTCTATGTCTTGGTTCTACTAATTGCTCTTTCCTAGTATCAATCCTTACCCTAACAGAGATAATTAATTATGAAAGAAGATATGGCAAATGAGGATCTCAGATAATCAGAGAGCAACTGCTTATTTTTAAGTGCAGTGAATTACTTACATACTGTGCTAAATTTGAGGTCTTGAAGCATCAACACTGCCAGTTTAACTGGAAACATTCATTGTTCTTAGTGTAAATCAGAGCTCACTGAAATGTGTACATTAGATTTGTTGCTGTTTTTTCTTCATGAGATTTCTTGTCTGCTTACTCTTACTGAAATAAGCTGTTTACTGTAAAGTATACAATACATACATGTACACACACATATGTACTTGTATTCGTATAGACACATATACATGGTAAGATAATTGGGCAGAGCTCTTTTTCTCCTTAGTTAGAAGGGAATATGGATAGTTAACTTCCTTTCTCGTTAGCTTTACCCCTGACCTTTATTGCAGTCTGCAGGCAAGACTGAAAAATTGGCACAGACAGGTTGGATGTCGCCTTTTCTTTTGCGGTCTGGCAGAACTCCTAAATTGTTAGGAAATGAGACTTGACAGTTTGTGTTATTAATTGGAGAACAATCTAACTATATTATGACTAACTTCAATCTAATGCCCCACATCAATTGACTCTTGTCATCCTCCAAGGATGCATCACTTTTTTTTTTTTTTTTTAATGCTCTCACTCAGGACTTCAGGAAATGTCACTCTTCAAGGAATATAGAAAGTAGAGCCAACAAGGCTTTAAAACAATTCTGTTCTCATGTGGAATGTAATGCAATTTATATCATGAAGTGATACCAAAGACTGTGGTAAACGAAAAGAAGTTTGTTGGCAGACCTGACTTGGCTGCACTGAATCTAGAGTAACCTGCTCGTGTAAATGTTTTATTCAGTTCAGCCTGTCTGTTTTCTAGCTGTGACCAGTGCCTCTCTAGTTGTTGAAAGTACAAAAAGAGAAGTATCATCTCCCATATTCATGTGTCAGACTTTTAGTTAAATACATTGATCACATTTAATTCTCGGAACATTTATTTTGTTAGCAAAGCACAAGTATTTTTTACTACATTAATTTTGAAAAGCATTTAGTAGAAGTATTGTGTCCCAAGCAGTGCTTGTTATCACCCCAAATAAATGACTAGTTCTTACTACAGCTTTAGTAATAAACAACTGCATAGCTAGATTTAAGTTGAGATTTGAGCTTAAAACACTACGATGTCTTTTTTATCATACATAAATAGAATTTTCCAGTATTATAACTGAATGTTATTTAGTTTGAATTAAAATGTAACAATAATGAAATAAAACAACAGAAAATAGCCTCCTGACAGCTTTTGTAAAAATTCAAATTAATGGAAGAATGAAAGTGAGACCTTAGAATTTTAATTTAGTTAAAAAGTAGTTTAATTATTTAATTTAATTATTTAACATCTGGCAATTTTTATTTTCTAGTTCTCAAGAGTGGCCATTTGCTGCTAGATTTTAGACTCTCTTGAAAGAAAACTTCAGTAATAATGGGTGGTACTCTAATTTGTAGAATTCTGCCAAGAGCAACTCATGTCAAATTTTCAGTTTTTAATTTTTTTAAAAAAAGGAACTAAGGGTCTGTTCCTCACTAAAAGCCTCTTTCATAGTATGATAACCTTGATATTGATGGCATCAAGGCCTTAGACAGCTCTTAGCAAAGAAGCTAGTGGTAAATCAAAGCTGCTCATCTCTACCTTACGACAGTGAAAACAGTTTTAACAACTACTTCAGGGAGGAGTGAGAACAAGTGAAGACACAGCAAGTCAGAAAAGCAGCATGTGTGTGTTCTTCTCTGAAACCCTGCTGCTGTGGTTTTTTTTATGTGTGGGAGTGTGGGTGGCACTCTTAGTTGCCCATTTTTCTTCTATTTGTGTGAGAATTGAGATGAGAGAAGTAAGTGAAGGAGCAGGTGCTCTCCATGGATGGTAGTTGTTAGCCCATTTCCAGCTGTCTGTTTCCACTCATCACTTCACTCTAGCAGCCTTAGTGGTGTAGTAGAGTGTAAATATTTACATTATCTCAGTTTGTCTTCCTGTTCCACCCTCAGCCAGCGCCATGAGTTTCACTACATACTCCTTGAGGGCCCCCTATAGAATGGCCTCTGTGGCAGTCCACTTGGCTTGCTCTTTTGGACTTGATTTGGCTTGTACATTGCTGGCTAGAATCCTGGCACTGGAAGATACTGCCTTCTGGAGATCTTGGCTTTATTCTTCTCACCAGCTGAGATACCTTAGCTATTTCTACTTCTTGGTCATGCTATAAGATTATTTTTATGTTACCTGTTCCTTCAGAAAAGTATTTGTGCTCTTGTATGTCCCATTTGGAAGGTCAAACTCAGACACAACTGAACTGTAGTCTTACATTAGTATGAAATTTCCAGTCTTTACTAATTTTCCTAAGAATTTATAGGATCAATTAGAAGATAATTAAAAAAAGAAGTTGTAATAAATATATGTTTTGGGTGAAAGTAGAATTACAGTTAGAAATTTCAGATCCAGTGACCCAACCTTACTTATATATCTTTGTTTTCAAAAGGAAATTGTTTCAAAAAGAGTAAATGTAAGCAACCATGGAGGAGTATTAGCTTAGTCCTTGCCTTTCTAAGATTTGCGTGCTTAAGCTATGGTGCAGTTTAGGATTTTCTTCTTGTTGTTTTTAGTTCATGTATCCAACTCTCACATAGAGGAATGGTGACAAGCTGTTCTACATTCCACCATAAATGAGATTCAAAACACTTGCTGTACTAATGATAGCTACCAGGACAAATAAGAGAGAATTAGAGCTTAGTGTGAAAGCTCTATATACTTGAAGAAATGGACCTGAATATTAACAGATTAAAAATAAAACAAATATGTTATGGATTAAAATTGTAAGTTCAGAACCTCTTTAGTTATACTGTCCTTTGCTTCAGATTTGATAGAAGAAACAGTGTTAAACATATATCAGAAAATATTTCCTATGGGGAATCTTTCTTTTTTTTCCTTCCCTTTGAGAAATCTGTTAGTTTCTTTCCTCCGAACATCATTTAGTGGAAGGGGTTTTTTTGTTGTTTGGATAAATACATACCATTTTTTTACAAACCCAGTCCAAAATGGTTGGAGAAAATGTGTAGTGATAAAGAGGTTCCAAAGGCCAGTAATGTACTCGAATAAAATAAAATTTGTTTTCAGTTTAAAAGCTCTTTCCAATTAAATTCATATTCAATTTGTATGTGCCATCATATAAAACTACTAAATTCTTGAAATCTTCACTAGTGTTGGTTAGTGTGATGTACCAATTCTCTCTGTCCTTTTGGGAGAGTACTCCAGAATCATTTAGTTACTGGATTTCACTGGAATCTGATGATCAGGGAATAAGTTTTTAGTCCAGAGAGATGCACAGGTTGGCTTGTCATGCCTCTCATGGACTGCTGGCCACTGTACACATACAGCAAATAGAAGATTTGATAATGAATATTCTAAGGACACAGAGAGACAGAAAACTGAAGTACTGTAGCCATATTCTTCATCATGTCTTGGGTTTATTCACATTTATAGTATACACAATACACTAAATCTGCATTTCTCCACTTCTTACTAGTGAAAGAGAATACTTAACATGAAGAAAAAGTCTTCTAGAAAGCTTGGTGTTTTACTTTGGAATTTTGTCTGGTTTTAATATTGGGACCAGCTACCCATGAAGCTGCTGAGAGAGAAGTGTATTGCAATTGGTCAGTCATGTTACTTTTCAAAGGGAAGGATAAGGATATTTCTGATCTCTATAAGATGAATCAAATGTTGAAAAAGCATGGTAATGTATGTGTTTAAAAAAATTTTTTTTCATATGTAATTTAAAAAAAAATTGTGGATTAATCCATCATGGGACAAGACTCTTTAAAATTACACTTCAAGCTAAAGAACCTATTTCTAATTCTAGAAAATTCATTACTTCACTATTGCCAAATTTTAGTGAAGCTCGATCTGTATGTCAGCAGAGTAGGTTGCTTTTTCTCCCATTAAGCAGTTGTATTATTTTCTTAGGTACCAGGACCACACAGTTTTTGGCACATTTCCCTGGAGCTTTGGCAGTTTGTGTGCACAATAACATTTAATTTCAATTTTACCTGTTATGTAAGGACTAGTAGGATCAACTGTGATAAGTTTGTAAATCTATCCTAAGTTTTTGAGCGACTCCTGCTTATTTCTGCCAAGCATAGTGAACCCCCTTTTTTTTTTTTTTCCTGTTTCTGCAGGCTGCCTTATATCGTCTGAGTGGGGATTGGAATCCTTTACATGTTGATCCAAGTTTTGCTGCTCTTGGAGGTGAGCTGAGGGATACCATTGTATTAGTATTTGGATGAAGAGTGATGTAAATGTATTTTTAATCTTTTTTTCAGTTAGTCTGTTCATCTTTAACAAGCTGGAAAAACAGTGCTTTTTTATAGCTGTTCTTAGTCACGTCAGTTCTGTTGACACTTCACTTTAAAGCATTGCTTCTTGTAGCTAGGAATGCGGAATGATGCTTGGACTCTGCCTACAGTAGAAACCTGCCTCCTACCCTGTTTTACTTTTAGAGCTTATTTGTTGCCACTATCACATCTTTACAGTCTCTGTATCATAAGCAGAAATAATTGACTATCAAAAGCTTCAGAAGAACTTCTAGAAATGCTTTGATAGATAATTCTTTCCATCTCAATAAATTTGAGATTATATTGGTCTCAGTGGAATTTTTTGTGCTTCTGCATAATCTTCTCAATCCCAATAAATCTCGGTAGGGTGGAAGAGAGGGGATTTTTAGCCCTTCTTTCCTATAAAACTGCTTAACTGCATCTCTTACTAGTGCAGTAGCTTCTTCATTTATGTAATGCTATGTGCCAAAGCAACAGTCCGTAGGCTACATTAACTGATTCTTGCAGAAATTTAATTACTAAAATAAGGTCTGTTTTCTTAAATTTCTGTTGTAAAGGTATTTATCAGAGTTCTTTTCAACCTTTGCTAGTAGTATAGTGTGATTACTCCAGGCAGAGAGCATTTTGATTTACTTAAGAAATGTTCCTGAATATGTATGCTATCATCATAAATTTTGCATTAAAATACTGCTCTGTAATAATTGGTCTGCAGTTTTCCGGTGACTTCTTTTTAATATAGAAGTATCATTGTATGGTGTTCTTACCAAGATAAATAGAGCAGAGCTATGCTTCCTTGTTCAGATTGCATTTAACATACTTCCACAAATCATCTCCTTTCATAAATGCATACTAATTGTTTGTTTAACTCTGGTTTGTATATTTCCATGTAAATTTGTGTTAATAAACAATTATAATCAAATACTAGTCTATGAAGAGATTTCCCTGGTTTATTAAACTATTCTGTTTGTTTACTCAGCTGATGATTTTGGATAAATATTTAGATGGAATCACCTATTTACTCTTGAAGATGCTGGAGGAGAAAAATACATGTTTATAATTGAAACCCCAGTGTTTAAAATAATGATGATAATCCTATAAAAACCTTACAAAAGAAGAGAAGTAGAAATCTTCTACCTGCTCACAGAAAGACCACTGGCACTTAGACACAGTGAAAAATGAAATTAACTCTGTAGATGAGGTAGTCTCTTTGTCTGAACAGAAAACTGCCGCATTGGATTTTGGAAGCGTGTCAATCTCCCACTCAAATACCTATACTAAATGTGGCTTCAAGCAAAGAAGAAAATGACTGTAGAGATAATCCATGAATATTTTTTCTAGTAACACAAAAGCTTTATTTTTTGGGCATATTCACACAGCTTCTTGTCTATAATCTCTGTAAATATCCTTTTTGACTTCTCTCACCAGCATGCACTGGAAGCAAGCATTCGAGCGTAATGCTCTCAGCTTGTTCCAGGATTATTGTTAAGTCTTCCTGTGGACAGTGTTTTAGAGGCGATATACTATATGAAAACACCTGTTTATATTGTTGTGCCTTTATTCCTGTAGCTTGTGAGTATTTCTGAGATACCAGAAAGTGAAAGCAACATTTACTTTGTTTTCATTTTAGTCTAGATAAAAAGTAACTTGATTGCCTTATGTATTTTTCTTTGAGTATGCATTAGTTTTATAAAGAAAATACTGGAGAGACTAGGACTGTATGTATTTGTTTCTGAGTTCTGAAAATAGTGGTGTTTTTTGGTTCTTGCTTGGTGAATTGAGCTAAGCTCTTAAAGAGCGAAATGTCACTATAACATTCTGTATGAGAGATACCGAATACTGATGATATTGTAATAACAGCAGTTATCTGTTTTAAAATTGACTGCACAGTATCTTTGTGCTTTCAGAAATAGCCTGTGCACAATGTACAAAAAAAGAGTGTGCTATTAAAAGTGTGCATATTCAAATATTTTATGGGAAACAAATGGCAGAATGATCAGAGTGGAATACTTAGTGAGAAAAAAACCTCATGTTCCTTTTAGCCTGTCCTTCTGTCATGTCTCCTCTCCTAATCTAATGAGTCAACATGTCTCTTTCTCTTCCTTACTCCTGCTAGTCTTGTCTTCCCTTTGGGCCGTGTGCCGGCATTAAGGCCTAGTGGCTTTGTGTCTTGAAGGTGGTTTCTTCTTCGGCATCTTCTGAATCTCTGCAGTCTAGACTTTCTCATGTCTCCTGCTTTTTGTTTGTTTGCTTTTGGTTTTGCTTTTTTGTCCCAGCTGTTGTCCCTTGGGACAACTTTTCGTGCTGTGTAGATGCTAGGAAGAGTTGTTTAGAGCACAGGAAAAACAGACTCTGGCAGCTCAGAATGGCACATCAGTTCCAGGCAAAGCAACTGGTTTCAGAGCCAAAGCTGGACAGACCTGTCTTGAATCTATGGGCTGCTGCAAGTGTGATCTGTTACTGTTCATACGCCCTGTCAGGTCAGAGCAACCTGTTAAGGGATCAGAACATACTCAGTACAAGCAGCTTCTTTAAAACTGAACCATTGCACTTTAGCAAATCTCAGGCCAGTTTTCAAAGGTTTGCTCTGGCAGACTTTGACAGGACTGGAAAAAGATTCCACGCTAATACAAAGATTATCCTCTGCCACAGTTCAACTCCTGCTCCAAAGCATAGAAGTGAAAGGAAATGTAACCAGAAATGTCAGTATAAACAAAACGCTGTAATTTTTTTTTTCTCTTTTTTGTTAGACGTATTCAAAATACCTGAAATCTTTTCAGAGTTTTTTCCACTTCTAAGTAAAGACAAGTTAATTCTGAAGTGTGCACTATATTTGAAGACTTTTGGCAACTAAGAGTAGGAATTAAAAATAGGAAGCATCAAATAATCTTAGTATCACCACTTTTTAATCATTACGTTATCTCTTACCCTTGATACGCATACTTACATGTAACTGTGTATCTGCATGCCTATGCACTTCTACTAAAACAGCAAATCTCCTGATTTTTCATTTTGTCACCTCTACAGACAAGGACTAATTCTACTTGTGAATCTTACATAGGACAGGCAGTATTGGAGTGCCAGTTCTCAGTGAGCGCTTTCTTTTGCCTCAAAGTAGGTAAAACAAATGGTAACAGACACTTTTTCAGTGAGTTAAATTATGTTAAAAAGAAAAGGATTAAGAACATCATTGGTGGAAAATACTATGAATAAAATACAGATATATGTAGAAGCAACATGCAAACTCCTAATGTTACAAATGCTAAAATGTTACTTTTTGAAATAGGATTTAAGAAGCCTATACTTCATGGATTGTGCTCCTTTGGGTTTGCTGCTAGAAACGTTTTGAAGCAGTTTGCAAATAATGATGTGAACAGATTCAAGGCGATCAAGGTCTGTGTGTTCATTCTTTGCAGTTAATTTTCTTGATTTTTCTGGTTTTAGTGCCAAAAAAGATTCTTTAGGGTAGGAAAAGGTTTTTGCACTGTCTTAACTGCCACAATTACTTTTACTCATTGCTGCATGCATTTTAATGCCTCTATCTAGTACATTTACTCTAATATTTAGGGTTTCTACATTGCTAGTTGACTGATTTTTCTCTTTGTTTTTTCTCATTTCAGTAGAGCCTATGCTTTTAAGCTTTGCCTGTACGTATGACAGATCTGTTCATAACCCCACTTTTTCTTTTTTTTTCAGGTTCGCTTTGCAAAACCAGTCTTTCCAGGTCAAACTTTACAAACAGAAATGTGGAAGGAAGGAAATAGAATCCATTTTCAGACCAAGGTCAGAACACACTCACTGTTGTGGGCTTTAGAGAATGATGTGTTGGTTAAAAGACTGGGGGTATCAGGGGAAGCAAAAAAAGTGGCTCATCAAGCACACCATTGAAGAAAGTTTTGTAAAGAAATTAAGTTAATAGAATGAAATATTCTTACTTATTTTATGGTGTCACTAAGATTACAATAAAAATACCATCATACTCATAGGACAATGCACTCTTCATATTAAATAATATGAGAACTCATTTCATTGCAATTTCTCATTGTATTGCATTTTCTGTGTTTGTCCACTGTGGAAGAGCAAAAAGCAGTCATTCTGTGGTCAGCATAGTTAGTACTTACTTTCTGCAGTTAATCATAACCTTGTGTATGCATCTTTTTTTAGCTTTTGTTTATCTTAAATCAGCTCCTGACTGTTAGCTGATGCAGGCGAACTTCTACAAATTTAGCTTTTAAGAAAAACTTGCACTGCATCTGCACAGAACTACTTACTTAAAAATAGAAGTTTCATAGCAGTTGGACATACTACCTACAATAAAAGAGTTTACAGTTTTATAAATTCAGGTTTTGCATTATTGCATTTTCTTTTGCATTGCTGTTAGCATTTTGTGGGGGTATCCTGTAATCCTCTCCTACACTTGATAGGATACTTACTGGAAGCTAAGGGTAAAATACTCCATGTAGAGACAAAAAGTAAATTCTAATTGCTTCAGTTGTAGCTTCCTATGACACTGTGACCTTCTTAAACTGTCATTTGATACTGGTATTTTTGTTGGCTGATGCAGATGCAATTTACATTGCTTTGGCTGGCAGTTTTGCAACCCCGTCTCTGTAAAGCTGTAGCCAGCTGTTGATTAGAGAGTACAGCAGCAGGGTAGTTGCAGCTGCAGGGAGGATTGTGCAGGCTAAATCAAATGAGGAGGGTCATCAAAAGGACATAGGATTGCTGTTTCCACAGGAATACAGCTTTGTGGAATAAATGTTGACTGAAGGAGGTAAATTTTGCTTGCAGACCTGATGAGTGTTAGCAGCTATAGAATTTCGGAATGATAACAACATCGAGGCTACTATGTACAAACTCTCCATTACTGGTTACTAGTCATAAACAAGACAGTTTGGTGCCTCAAATGAGCTTTGTTGATTATTGTGTTGAAGATGGCATAGATATATTTAAAAGGCACTACCACCCAGTCCTGACAGAATTTCTAGACTTCAGTTACTTACTTCTGAGGGTTTGCATGTACAGTGTAAATTAACAGAATTCATGATATGCTTCCAAGCTCTCTGGAATTTGTACATGTAGTGGGATGTCTTGTCATGTTTAAAGGCTGGATTTGTTATTATGCTTGGTTTAGTCATTGCTAATATTTAGAGTTTTGGGGGATTTTGCTACAGAAACAGATTATAGAAAACCACCTTGTTTCAACAATAACAAATTGTGCAGAATTCTGTGTCTTACTGCATCTTGGATTAGTATGAAGTAAAGCCATATTTGTACTTGTAATAAACTCTGGTTAAACTCAACTAAAAGTAGACATGTAAATGTGATACGCTGGTTTAAATCCATTTTCAGCATTGTCTGAAGAGCAGTGGCAGTGGGTGACAAGCTGCTAGGCATGATTTGACTAATCATTATTATGTAGTCTTTCTGTATTCATTTCACCTGTGCAATAAGGTAGCCTGTGATGCTGGATAGTCCTCTGCTTTGGGTATTTATCATATAACTCTATTTGCATTGTCAGTGAATCATTTTGCCATCTTCTGTTTGCTGACATGTCAGAATGGTTTGTCAGACCACTTAAAAAGACAATGCCAAAGTGAAACCCATTTTCTTCTCTGACTTAACTATTTCAAGAAATTAAAACAGAAGGGAATTCTGGTATTTTTTCATCTTTCTTCTTGTAATCTTTCTGGTTCTACAATGTTTAAAAAACTGTTTCTAGTACAAGTTGCCATGTAAGGCACCTGGAGATAGCAGAACTGTCTAGATGAACTCTTGACAGCTGCATATCTATCTCAAGGAAAAACATTTTAGAACAATGACTTTCTCAGAACTATTTATGAAGTAATACTAACAGTATCTTATAACACAAGGTACATTTTCAGATAAATAAGCTTTTTCTACCATTTTTTGAACTGAAAACCAGCAATATATTTCAGCATAATTTCTCAAGAAGCAAATAATTACTTCGTTTGAAGAGCTGTTTGCAAAGCATAATATACTAACTTGCCTCAAGACTACAGTGCATTTATGGGGTGTTTTTTTCTTACTCTGGAAATTTTATGTTTTCTCTTTTCTTCATGTCTGATTTTAAAAATTAGGGAAGCCTCCTTGGTTGCCCTTCTGTTGTGAATTTTTGCACATACGTTACATCCTTAATGTAATTTTTTCTCCCACCACAGGTCAAAGAGACTGGAGAAGTTGCTATTGCAGGAGGCTATGTGGATATAGTACCAGCCTTGGATAAGCCTTCTGCTCGAGAGCCTCTGAAGGTAGGGGAAGCAACAGAAGTCTTAACTTACTAAGCAGCATAGTTAGATTTTATTTTTGTGAAAAACACAGGAAAAGTGCTTAGATCACTTACCAGTCTTATTTGCAGTACTTAGATGAGTATATGAGTTCAGAGGTGTGAACACACATGTTGTCTAAGATACAGAGGTTCATGGATCTATTTGAGGGGGAAAATACAGACATTTTAAGATATATAGGGTTGCTGATGAGGTTTGAACTGCTTGATGCCGGTTGAACTGTTAGAATAAGCATTGCAGTGTATGTTACAAAACAAGTGAGGCATGCACCAGTGAGGGTCACAAGCTTTGAGCACTTGCATAATGTAAGGTTGAAATTAGTCCCTGTAATTTGGGGCTGTACCTGTAAAATGAGCACTTTGGTTTTATTTTGTAGATGTTGAAGATCAGACTCATCGTAAGTTGTAAGAGTGTGACCTTTCTTTCTCGATATTTTCAGAGAGACATGGGGACAGTGGCGGGAAGGCATTAGAAGAACAGCACAAATGAAAATGAAATAGCATACTCATAGAAAGGAACAGTTTTGTCATTGGATCATTTTGAAAGCAGGCTCTGATGGCTGTTTGTACATGTGGTTAGGCCTAGCACATGCACTTTATACTATATATATTTTAAACAAAATCTCTGCACACATGCATTAAGCCTTGGGTACTGGACGTGCCACAAAAGACAGTATTGTACATGCAATTCTGAGAATGTCCTGGGTTCTTAATATGGCTGAAAAGCCACAGGTGCACAGTGCATTGCCTTAATAAACCATATCTTTTTTTCCCATTGACGCCTGCCTACAAAGGATGAAACTTTAATGCATTGAAGTGTATGAAGTACTGAGTGCCATTCATTTAAAGCTTGTGATATATTCCTGGAACCTGTTTCTTTTTGCTGGTTGTGTTTAGTCCTCTGATGTTCTGAACTGTTGACAAATCTGCTTTTGAAGTTCTAACATGTAAGCACTAGAACTCTTCAGTGAAATAATTACAAAGATTTTTTTTTAACATGGGCAGAACAAGCTTTTTTTCTTTAAGCTTACTCTGAGAAATTAAGGTGCTTTGGCAGACATTTGCTGACAGAGGCAGACATCCACCAGGGGAAACTAGCTTGAGTGATGATTGGCAAATTTAGATGTTATATAATGGAAAATGTTAGGCCTAACCAAAGAGGTGACAAGATAACAGCATGAGGAGTATTGCATTCTGGTGTACAGGTAGGTACAGCAGAACAACTAAATCTGTAAGAGCATCTTTGCTCTAATTACAGGATGAAAAATGTCACTGGAGCAGGTTCTTAAAGTGTAGCATTTCATCCAATACAAATATTTGTTAAAGGCAGACAATGAAAGGCTTGCAAAATAATATGTGTTTGAACAAGCTGAAAATGTAAATGTAGTTAATCCCACTCTTAAATGATAAACACATTGTGTCTACATTGGAGTTCCGACTGTGTTCATAGTGCATTATGTTTCTTCCATCTTCCACAAATTAAAGTAATGTACTGGTAAAATCATTTTTGTGTTCTATAAATTAACATGCTATTCACCATAGAAAAAGTGGCAATGATTATCCTCCAAGGCAAATAAAGGGCAATTTAGAAGCCCTTAGATCTCTAATTATGAAACATATCTTAAATTGTAGTGATAAATGACAAAAACTGCAAAAGCAAGATTTGAAATAATTCTCAAGGAAGAGTCCATGAAGCATTTTCTGCTTGAATGTACTCTTTAGTGCTGACAGTTGCTAGAGGTGATTATTTGTGGTGGAAGAAACCTCAATTGCATTTAATAATTCTGCAATAGAGACCTTCCTGGACACAGTGCTTGAACTAATAGACATATTTAGTACTTTTTAAATGGAGTTTCAATTTTAAATTCTTCATACTTGCTCTCTTTTTTTTAAGACTGCAGGGCTGCAGAGTGACCTTGTGTTTGAAGAAATTGGTCGTCGTGTAAAAGAGATCGGAAATGAATTGGTAAAGAAAGTAAATGCCATATTCCAATGGGACATCACTAAAGATGGAAAAACAGCAATGCAATGGAGTAAGTTGTATCTTTTATGTAATGCCCTGATGGATTTTTTTAATGAAGTTAAAATTTAATTAATTATACTCATTCTAATTAAACTGATATCTTGAAAATAAGCATAAGGTAGTAGACGAATATTCACTGGGACCTAAAAATCTGAATGTATACTGAATGCACAAGTGACAAGGAGGTCAGATAACGTTCCATAATGGCAGTTACTAACCGTTCTAGGAACATATTTCTGTAACTTGCCTGTTTAGATGTAGGCATAGGCAAACCATCCTCTAGAACTTCAGTGCATTTCTATTTATTTTTTCCAGAATGGATCGCCACTGCACGTAGAAAAGCAGGCTAAATTAACCTACTAGGAGCTCTGTGTTACAGCAGTCTGCTGCTGATGTACACACTACCTAATCTAAAACAAATAACTATTTATTTCTACTGTATTGTTCTTGTCACTTCAGTGAAAATGTAGCCCAGTTTGTTTCCATTCAAATTTTCTGAGATCAAGGCATAATAAAAGGTATAATGATGCTTACCCATCCTTTAAGCATGCGACTGGGTTGATGAAGAAAGACTAAAACTTGCAATAAAAATGGGTCAGAGGGGAAGTATTTCCTGGTAAAGTGGATTATACAAGTACGTGAAATGGTCTGATGGGGGCAAAACTACTTCCTCAAAAAACTTCTCTTCTAAATTGTCTTGTGCTCTGCTTCTAAGGATGTGTGTTTTTGCAAAAAGCAGTCTAATTTTAGTAATTGGATATATTTCATTGTCTTTGGTATTATTCAGGTTTTTTTGCTGAGGTGTCCTAAATCATCTATTAGTAGAACTTAATGTTTTCCATAGGAAAAAGAAAAAGGAAAAAAAAGAAAAACCTCTGCTGAACACAGAACACTTACAGATTTAGGCCTGAGTAGTAGCCTTACTTGCCTCATGAGACCGAGTTTTATTAGAGGGGAAACAGGTGGATGTTTTTGCCATTTGCCATTTTGCCATTGAGAGAGAGGGGAGTACTCCTTTGAGTAAATCAAGAGTCAGCCTTTTCCATTTTTCAAACAAAGCTTGTCCTCTCTTCTGTTTCCTACTGAAGCAGTGGGAGGAAAGTAGTGCCTTCTTCCAAAGCTTATTTCCCTAGCTAAAAGAGATTAAATAGACATAACTTTTCTTTGTCCTGTTCCCTCAGTTCTGTTTTATACAAATTTGGAACTACTTAAAACTCCCTGTGGGAAGGAGGGTGGAGGAGGTAATCTAATATTTTAAATGTTTCCTTTTGCTGACTACTGTTAGGAGCTTAAATGAAACATTTCCAAAATCTTCGAAAAGTTACTGCAAATTCTTGTATAGCATGGTCAGTTTCTTCAAGCTTAGGTGTCAAAACAGTGGCTAGTGTTTATGAATTACTGTAGTCTTATGGTGTAGTAAATATGTAAGGCTGAATGTAAGTGACAAGAAGGGTGTCGGTAGAAAGTGTTGCTTACTTCTCTCATTAGGAATATTGGTATGCAAGTACTCCCTTTGTATATCGCTTTTTCAAAGAACTTTGTGTCATCTGATGGTTTTCTGAATATTTTTTGTGTCTTCGAAATTTCAAGCAGCTAAAGAATGAAGAAAGCAGGAGTTGGTTTAATATTAAAATAATTGAAACTAAATTTTGATTAATTTAAATATTAGATTGGATTATTAAATACTAAAATTGTTATGTAAACTTGCTAGCAGAGTGTTAGGAGTTGTGATGACTGTAGTATCAGCTCTCACAGTTTGTCCTTACATAGATTAGTAGCATACTACTGTTGTTGTATATTTAACTCTAATGGTAGATTTCTAATGGAATATATATAAGATAGATAAATATTTATTTGGGGAATTTTTTTAAACACTATTCTGGTCATTAAAAAAACCCTAAACAAACACAAAGCAAGCATTGTAAGCAATTGCCAGTTTAATTCTTTTTGCTTGTTTCCATACATTATTATTCAAGAGTATCATCATGTACTGTCTCTGCTACCAGATGCTAGCATAACTCATTTTGCGTGGTGAATGTGGAAGAAGAGAGTAGTTTGTGGCTTTGCATTCAGGAAGACAGCTTTCTTGCAGTTAAGATGTTGTCAATAACCAAAAAGATTTCTGACAGATCTTTATATGGTCATCACCGTGAAGACTTCCATAATGCACATGAGTGATGACAGCTGATTTAGAATATGTAACATTGACAATGCCATTTACTGACTTGAATGCTTGGCTTTTTCTGTTGTTAATGAAATGGAACCCTCTGTACATAATTAGAAATTTTAGCCTCTGAGAAATTAATTTTTTACTTTAAAAACTGAAGATGCTAGTAGGATGTTACCTTCGCTATAGCTTGAATTTAATTAAGTGTCACTGTTTTGACCAGTTTCAAACCTGCTTCAGATTTTAATGTTAGTCAGCTCTGTCAGTAAATTTGCACTTCTTTACACTACATTTAAATTTGGCCCACTGATTATTAGTTGATCTTCTGTGTACAATAATTTTAAATTAGTTTTGTAAGTGTTATGCTAAGTTAACAATTTTTAATTATCTTTCTCTTTATAAGTAAAATTTCTGGTATGAGAGCTAGATTCCATAACATACATAGCTAGAATAAAGCAAATGGAAAATATGACGTTAAAATTAATTTAGAATTCAGTTCCTGTGGATACATAATTGCATACTCCTTCAATGTATGTTCAAAATTCTTGACAACACTGAACCGAAATACGAGGAGGCAGATTATTTTGGGGGAGTTTTTTGTTTTGTTTTAAGCTTTGAGTTGATGCTAATTGTTTCATTATCTGTCATCTTTTTAGGCCTGTCTTTTTAGGGGCCTCCCAGACCTTTACATGCCATGTTTGTTCCCATATTAAATTTGTTACATAGTTGTGCTGGATTGTCTTTTAATTTTTTGACTTGTCACTTTTGCACAGCTTTGTGCTGTTGTGAAAACTGCAGCAATTGACAGCACTAGAAACAGTCTGGGCCCCACAGCTCCTTGCTGTCTTAATGATTTTAGCTCCAGCATCTTCTGCTAATGTCCTTGAGCCTCTTAAGATCTGGGAGGAGGCTGGGAGGGAAGCAAATGAGAGAAAGCAGCAGTATTAAGGACCGCTGGGAAATTTGTTCTCATGTATAAGGTTGTTCTGGTATTTTCCAAACTTCCACCAAACAATTTAAATAAAATAAAATATTTATTTTTAGTGTTTTGTTTTAATTGTAACTGTAACCTTTTGATCTAGTCTCTGCAGTAAGCTAAGATTTTTGTTGATGACTTTAATAAAAAGAAGTGGGATTTGTGAATTGGATTTAGCTTTTGTTGTTACAGAGGCACTTCTTGATGGTAGCGCTAATATTAGTAACACTAGTCTGTTTAATTTAGTGATGACCTTTTATGTAGTTCTGTGTGGATGGTGTGAAGCAATGGGGAGGTGTAAAACCATTGGTCTTGCACTCAGGATGTGAAATTTTGAGCATCTCATTCACTGTCTAAACAACATTGAACTGTAGCCAGTAACAACTGGTCTTAATTAGTGGTATTTCTTTATAGAAGCAAGCTGTTTTAATTTAAGAGAATGCTGAAAATCCTCCTAAGAAGATAAAGCAATACAGATTTTGGCAGTATCAAAACCTAACGAATAAGCTTAGCGGTACTGGAGCTATCTTTTTTTATTTTTAAACAAAATTCTTGAGATGCACCAAATTTGACTTTTCCTGTTGGCTTCACTACCTAAAGCATGCTTTGCTCTGTCCTGCATATTTATTATTGTACAACAGTTGCATTTATTTTCAATGGTTATAAAGTATTTGTCTTTTTTTAGAATTAAGCTACTTCATTTCAACTTCTCTTTTCATAGAGAAAGACATTGCCATTGAGATTTGTTAGCTGATAGTTAATGGTTCTCTGGAACAGTACTCAGAAGAGCTTACCCATCTGTTGCTTTTCATCATGCTTCTGAAGGCAGAAGATACTTCTGTTTCTTTCCAGTTCTCAGCAGAATAAAACTTTGTTAGGAGAACTGGGGGGAAATTGTTACGTGCAGTTGGTTGTGAACATCTGACAAATTATGGCAGAACTGCTTAATAATTTATGATCCAGTATGACTTCAGGCAATGAAGAGTGGATGACACTTTGTTCCATTTGCTGTGAGGATGAGTTGTGTATTGCACGTACCCTCTGTAAAGCAGAATAAAAACCAAACCAAAACAAATAAAAAAGTAGTCTGACCCCTTAATTTTTCTCTCCTATAAATGGCAAGGTATGCTTTGAAAGCAAAGCAAAACCTGTGCCCCAAATCTTAGATTTTTAGGCTATTTGTCTACCTGCTATAGTACGTCAATGTCTAGTGATTTAGCCTGCATATATAATTATTTTGACCTTTTAATTATATCTCTAAAAACAGCATCTTGTGGATGATAATAATTCATAGATATTTAATTATTGTGATATAACACTTATGTGTACAAGTAAAAACAAAAATTTGAAGGTTAAATACTGTTTCAGCTACTGAAACTGCTTGATTGTGCTTTTCTGCCAGGTGTATAATACTAAAATTTTACATATTTAAGAAGCTGCTTGATTTTTAAAAGGGACTTCAGCTTTCAGTTTAATTTGTGTTTCTTCACACAGTATTGAGGAGTACCACACCCATGTTTCAAACTTGTGGTTTTGTATGGAGTAGATCAGCCACGTGAATGGTATCAGCAGCAGCCACAGAAGGCCACATATTCTCAGAAGCGAAGAACACTGGAAACACCTTTAGGCTACTCATCTGTTACTAAGAGCAGTGGAGCCGCACTAGCAGTGCCCAGGTCACCGGCCAGCTGAGCACTGACATAGCTACACCAGTACCAAGTCATTATCAAGCTGGCTCCTGCAGTCGTAGTGAGGCAGTAGCTATAACCATAGAAAAGTGTATCCAGGAGATATGTGTAGAAGACGTGTATAGGAGACTTGCATCAAGCCCATTTCCTGCTGCAGCAGGCAGCTGTGTTGTATAGCT